CAATTCTCGGAGTATCAGCGCCACCAGTTTCGCCAGCTCGAGGAGCGCCATCAGGCGCGCGAGGCATTCCAGACGTCGCTGGAAATGGAAGCACGTCGTCACCGAGTCCATTAACAACAGCTCGAAGAGGCTCTACAGGAAGCCCAAGCCACCCAGGACGACTTCGACAAATACCTCTTCGGGGAGCCTGCGCATGACCCCCAGGACCGGGAAGAGGAACAACGACGTGGTCAATACCTGGCACAGATCGAGAGGACCCGCATCCAAAAGGAGACATGACAATGTCTGAACGCCGTCGTAGCAGGACCATGCGATCATCCGCTACCCGAGTACGCCGTCTACATCTCGGAGTATCCTGGAGAAGCAAGGGCCGCAACTGCGACCGCGGCATCAAGCACTACGCCCGACGACGACTTCAGCCTCCAGGACCTGGGCGTCGCACCGCAAGCCCCCAACGACGCGCCGCCGCCGCTCCCCCCCACCAGCCCCCCACTGACGACTGCCCACTCACCCCCCATCACCCTTTCAAGCGACGACGACTCCCGTTACTGTCGCCGACGACGGATACGGATCATCACTGCAGGAGAGCCCCAACACGCCCATCCCCGACATTCAACGCGACTCTGACCTTGCTGACGACGACATACACGCGCCCCACTCAACGTGCACGCACTACGCCCATACCCACAGAACAACCAACCCCTCCCGTAGCCATTTTGGCGGAAGCCATATTGGCTCAAGCTACGGCACGTGCTGTGCAGCGCCCCCCTCCTTGTCCCTGCCCTTCCCGGCCTCCTTCCCGCTCCCTGTCGCCCGTGGCTGACCACGACGCTTTCAGCATCATCGCGAATCTGCGCGGCAAGTTTCTCCGGATGCTTTCGGCGCACCTCGAGGTGCACAGCCAAGGATTACAACGAGCTGCGAGACTTGGGCGGCGCTGTGGCCTGCTGGACAATTCGACTGCTCGCAAGCTTTCGAACGTCGATATCTGCTTCAGTTTATCCAGGCACATCGCGACTGTCTACGCGGAGGAGATGCTTGGCAACGTCGATCGCGTGGGGGCTCTGACGTGCGCGGTCGAGCGCACCGATCAGGGTGGAGACGACCGGATGTACGAGGGCCAGCGTGCCGAGCAGGGTGAAGATGACCAGAAGAAGTGCGCGGGCCAGCGCGCCGAGCCAGCGGAGCAGGTCGATGACGAAACGCTGAAGGAGTTTGTGAAGCCGCTTCTCTCTATGGCAGACGGGCTTCTTGACGCGGCAGTTGCTCAGGCCGAGGATCAATTGCGTCCGCTACCCGACGGCCCTGCGTCTCCCCAGGCTTCTGAGGACGCACCGCCGCCGTAAAAAGAGATGTCGTCGAAAAATTGGTCTCGCCGCAGGGCGCGCGATGGGCCTCTTTTGATCAGGTGCTGGTGGGTCGGCTCTTGAAGTTGCTGCGGATAGAGCCCCCGACAATGATGGGCGCCAAGTTCGAGCGTGCTTCTCGCCAGAGACAGGAAAAGGCCTGGTGCGATGTAAAGGTGCGCGAAGAGCAGTTGGACGGCCTCTAAGACCCAAATTGGGCGGCGCCGCGCAGCGAGTTGTGTTCAGTGCGCAGTTCCCAGGCGGGAAAAAACAGAACAACCAACCCTTGTTTAAATGCCTACCTCCAGCCGCAACTACCGACAACGATGCCATATCCCCAGAAGTGCGCGCCACGTCGGCCCCCCCTGTCTCCAGACGCGGAGACGGCGGACCCCCCCACCCACGCCCGCAAGCGATATCCTAATCAACAGCGTCGACAGCGACGCCCCACCAAGCGCGCCAACTCGACGGCCCATCGCCAGCATCAGCCCGACTCAGCCATCAGACCCAACGCTACCCCCCACTAGGGCTCCACATCGGAACTCCAGAGCGTTGCGATTCAGCTCCACCTCCGCGCGCTGCATTGAAGAAGACAGACAGGACCGCTAAGCGCAACGCCGAGCCGCCCGAGACAATCGGCATCTGTGATGCGGGCGATGGATTCGAGGACCCTTGCGACAGGCAGCCCAGCTTAGTCGGCCACGACGGGGTGCCTGAGGGGCCCCGACCAACAAAAACTGATCCGCCGCTGCACCCTGGCGGGCAACTGCGCCAGGAATGCAGGACGCGGCACGCATCAGAAGACAGAGGCCCAGCTAGGTGCACCGACCGTGACCCCTGCGGTGGCGTTGTCGCGCTGGCACTGGGCCTCCACACAGGGCCACTGACAAGCTCTGACCGGCCACGCGACGCCCAACTAACATCAGTTTCACCTACCACCCACCCTACATTATCTGCGACGCATGACCGCTGTGCTTTGCCATCGGGGGCGGCAACGCAGCAACGTAGCATGCGACGGCACCAGCACCCAGCTTACAAAACCGACACATCATGCCAGATTTCAGAACCTTCACCACTCCCCCCTGCGCCCCGACGCAGAGAGACGGCGACGTCAAGAATGGGGGAGCTACTCGCACGCCACTCCTGCACCAACGATAGCAGGCAGGACACGAAGATTGGGACTGGGGAGACATCCCCTCAGCCCAACTTGCGGAGCGACAGACGGGTGCCCAGGCTGGGGCGCCGACCACCCAGTCTCGATCCTGCACCTCGAGTATTCCCACGAGCAGCACAGGGCACAACAACTACGCAACGAGGAGCTCAAGGAACATCAACTCGAGCGTGCACAGCAGCAGAAGCAGCAGTCCATCGATTACGAGCACGAAGCTGCCCAGAGGACCCTACAAGTTACTGTCAACGCATTGAAGCGCCAGGAACACGCACATCACTTCGAGATGGAAAAGACGAAAGCAGAAGGACTCATATTTAGTGAGAATCTCGAGACAGAGATGCAACATCTTCAACACCAGCTGCAAATGGGGCAATCGGTGAACTACGATGGCGCATGCCGCAGACGTCGAAGAGACGAACCGCACACTACATTACGAAATGTCCGGTATCGAGCATAAGTGCCGTGGTGGTGCTCTGTCTGTTAGTGCTGATGCTGGTCGAGTCGTTGGTTGAGGGCCTTGAGCATGCTTTTCGACACTTCCTTGTTCGCCTTTTCGTTCTTTACTTGGCCTCTTGTCGATTTTCTTAGTCGGGTATGGGGTACAGCAGCGCGCTGTCTCATTGTCTTTCCTCTATCGGTATCTTCCTCGTCTCCGTCACAACTAGAGTCGTCTAGCAATTCTTTGAGGCCTCGCATTTCTTTTGATTATTTGACCAGGGAGCGCAGGCTGTCGATGCGGTTGTTGATGTTGTCCTCTTCTTTAGAGCGGCCCTTCTTCTTCTGCATGATCTCGCTCTTTTTGTTCAGTGTGAGGGTCCGCAGGGCGGTTCCGCTTATTTCAGCGTATCACTCACAAGTTCGCGCTCCTCAGGGACCAATCTCAGCGGGAGGGTCAGCATGGCCGCGCCGCCCATTTGGGTGCACCCCTCCGCACGTTTCGTGGCCTTATGGGGAGCTCCATCTGCGGCCCCAGTGGCAGGGTCCCGATGGCGGTGCCGCCCACTGAAGCTCACCCCTCACGAAGATCGCGGCCTCATAGAGTGCTCCACCTGCGGCCCCAGTGGCAGGGTCCCCATGGCGGTGCCGCCCACTTCGGCGCACTCATCACGAGAATCGAGGCCCCATAGGGAGCTCCACCTGCGGCCCTAGTGGCAGGGTCCTTCTGGCGGTGCCGCCCAATGAAGCTCACCCCTCACGAGGATCGCGGCCCCATATATGGGAACTTCACCTGCGGCCCAAGTGGCAGGGTTCCCATGGCGGTGCCGCCCACTTCGGCACACCCATCACGAGGCTCGCGGCCCCACACGGAGCTGCACCTGCGGCCCACATGAAAGGGTCCCTATGGCGGTGCCGCCCAATGAAGCTCACCCCTCACGAGGATCGCGGCCCCATGAGATCGCCCACTTCTGCCCGTTTGGGCATACCCTTCCCTTCACGCGGGCCCCGCCCACGTTCCCAGCGGAATAGGTTTACATTGTTTCCTTGCTCATGCCGGCGTACCCCTTACACGTTCCTTGCCCCCATAGGGAGTTCCGCACACGCCCGCTTTTTGAAAGCTGCGTGCGTTCCCCCACCCATTTTGGCACGCCCCTCACACACGGGCCGTCCGTAGAGAGATTCATTAAGCTGCTAGAGGGTTGTACCCCTCGCCGTTTTAATTCTTTTTCTATTCCCCAGAACGTTGTCGCACAGCTCGCCATCCTTGTGGGATCATAGTTGCAGTGCTTCCCGGTCTGGAGGCTGCGTGATGGTGCCGTGGGGGCGCATTAGGCTGCTAATTATTTCTTTCCCTTCCAATTCCCGCTGCGCGCCCTGCTAAGCGAAAGCAGCGCCAGAGCTGAACTCTGGATGCCACTTTGGTGCAACCTTGGGCAATATGGGGGCTACCCTGGTGCATCTGGGGGCCGTCTCCAATCCATGTTGGGGCACCGTGGGAGCAACACAGGCACATGAACATGGAACCTCCTTAGGTGTCTTGATGTCATGAGCCCTCCCGAGGCCTTTTGGGGCCCTCTTCGTGGGTCTAGGGGTTGTTTTTGACCACCGTGTCTGGTCTCGGTTTAGTGGAGTTTTTTCAGGGGCCTCTTGGGCTCCTCCTAGACCTTGGCCGGCTGGTGGTGTCCTTGTGGGCAGTCTGGAGCGATCTAAGGCGGCAAACTGGGTCTGGTTCGTCCTCCCCCTTTCCCCACCCATGCTTCCTCTATTCCCCCCGTCAACCCCTCCCTTTCCTCATTGTCCTGCTCCTCCGCTCCCACCCTTTTCCTTCTGTGCGAGGGCAGGGCATGCTTCAATATGCTTAGGTCAGCACGCGGGTACGCCACTCAGAGTTCCAGCACCCTAGAGCCAGGCGGTCTGTTTGGGGCTTCGGCGAGGTTCCATTCGAACTCCACGATGTCGACTCGGCCTGACTCATCCCCCGTCTTTTCTCCCTCTCCTTTTGCCCCCTTTTGCCTACTGGCCGCGTACCGCCGTCGGGGCTCCAGGTACAGCGCGGCAATCAGCACGTGCAAGAGCGCCCACGAGTGGGCTTGGGCGCCTTCAGCGGCTGGGCAAGAGTGGCCAGGGGTGAGGGAGAGGAGGAGGAAGAGGAGGAGGAGGAAGAGTAGGAGGAGGAGGAGGAGGAGGAGGAGGAGCATCCAGTGTAAATCCAGGAGTCACCAACGACGTTGAAATCCACCCTCCCTCTAAGCTCCCTCTTCACAGGCCCCCACAAGGAGTCATTTCCACTGAGTGAACTGCCTCGTTGGGAGACAGCCGTCTGAAAACCCTGAAGCATTCCAAAACATTATTCTCCTGACTCCCCCGCCACGGCTCAACCGGGTTGTTTCGGCTTGACGGTCCTGAATCGTGCCAGAATTCCTTTCCTGGTTCTTCAACGCTGTGAATCAACGTCCCTGTTGCGCCTTATAGTCCTGAATCTTTCTTACACACCATTTCTGGTACGTTGACCATGGGACGCCGTGAACTTGCAATTTTCAAGAAGGAGTATGCGTGGCGCTTAGGCGAGAGCCACATTTGAAAAGGAACCGTCTTCAATCAGTGAGCTTCTTGCAACAATTTTAAAGGAATGTGCGCGGCGCTAAGGCGAGAACCATCGTTTGGCAACAACCCGCCCTCAATCCGTGAAGCTCATACGAATGCACGCGGCGCTAAGGCGAGAGCAACTTTTTGGCAACGACCCGCCCTCCATGTGTCAAACTATTGCAATGTTTCAAGCTTCAGGAACATAACAGGTGAGGAAGTCTCAGGCGGAACGCATGGCCCGCCCTTTCGACCTGCCTCGGGATGCGGCAGGGAGAAATATTACAAGGAAAAGGAACTTATTACTCCGCGGGCAGCCCGTCGCCGCAGCCCGCACTGGGGCCCGCGCTGAGATTGAGGGGAGGCGGAAGAGGGAGAGGGGAGGAGGGCAGGGAACCCTCTCACCAGCACGCCCTTGAGGTCCGCGAGCCAGCACTCCAGGCCGACAGCGGTGCACCTCAGAACTGCCGCTCTCGAAATAAAGGAGCAGGATCACCAGGCATCAGCTGGCTCTGTCACAACCCCCTATGTGAGATCACGAAGACCTCGGAAAAGGGAGGATCACCGTACCAACGCAGTACGGATCCCAAGTGTAGTAAGTGTGCCCATCGTACAAGTCAGGACGACGGCCATTTACAGGGCATCCTCGCTTTTGGTAAGATCCCACGGGCCAACTCGCATAAGTTCTAGCTGCCGTAGTGCACAAGTGGTTCGAGCACGGCTCAGCCAGCCCCCTGGGGAACAAGTTTACAACGCAACCGCATCGTTAGCAGGCGTGTACCTTCAGGTCGCTAAAGTAGCCCAGCAGGTGTGCGACATGCCCTCGAACCCCTTGCACCATCACCCCATCGTCTCCAACACGCTGGATCGAACCTCTGATGACTGCACACCCATACAAGGAGTATCCAACAACTTCTTGAGCTTCCTGCCGCTGGCACTGCACCCACACGCTTCGCAATGGAACGCCGAGCCTGTGCCAGTGCACACATGGTGCTCGGACATCCAAACCTTCTTACAGTAGTGTTTCGCCATAGCACGCGTTGGGTTGATCCTCTTAGGCTCGGCAGCGGTGCACGCGAATGGATCTGCCAACAGCTTCAGCGTGCTCAACCGCCCCGACCACCGAGTCCGCGACAGTACACTTCTCTGCCCAGTAATTCGCCGCTTCGTAAGCCATGGCGTTTGCCAGGGAATCGTCGACCCTGACACCGTTCTGGTAGCCAAGTAGATCCCTTACACAATGTAGTGAAGCTGGGTCAACTCCAAGCCTTCGCCGAATCTTTCTCGTCTGCGCGGCATGGCGACGGGAAGTGCGACAGGAGGAGGCCGGAAACTGAAGCCTTCGGGACGCAACCCAGAGGCTCCAGACAAGAAGTTGGCGAAGACGCTGAACACCGACAGTGACAAAGAAGATGAATTGGGCATGGGAAGTGGGGGAGAGGAGGAGGAGGAGGAGGATACGGACATGAAAGGCATGATGAAGACGATGATGAGCATGTTGAACGGCATGAGGAAAGACATGAAAGACATGAAGAAAGAAACGGAGGAGAAAATTGCCAGGATTGAGCAGACGGCCCAGATCGCCAGTGACACTGCAGGCCAAGCCATGGCGGAGGTCAAGAATGTCAAAGGCGCGATCGAGCACGACTTGGACCAACTTCGCAAGGCCATTCAAAACCGCTCCGACGACATCCAGGTCCCTCACCACCAGCAGGCGATCGAGAAAGGCATCCGGGAGCTGCAAGTCATTGCTGCTGGTTTGCAGGAGGCTCAGGATGAGGAGGACATTATCCAGCAAGTCAAGAAACGTGTACTTGATATGGGGGCGGGAAGCAAATGCACCGACATCTTCGTCTACGCCGATCCTTCAACAATTGGTGTCATACAGTTCAAATCAAGTGCAGCGAAGATCGGATTCTTGGAAAGGACCCCCAATACAAACATTAAATGGGATAATGGCGCCGACATTCGTTTCAAGAGCAACGGAACCATGGCGAAGCGCATCATCGACAAAGATATGGGGAAAGTCAAGAGTCTGTTGCACGATGAGGGTCGCGGCTACAAGCTGGAGGACATGAGAATTAAGTGGAGGGAGAGGGTGGTAGAGCTAAACGGCAAGCGGGTTGCTTGGGGGGGGACGGAAGGGGAAGGGTTGCAGTACGAAGGCGAAGGGGAACAGGTATAAGAAGCAGTGAAAGCCTTCATGACAGCGTGGAAGAGAAAGCATACGGGCGCCACAGACGACGATCTGTGACCATGCCGGCCGACCAAGTCACTGAGTACCAGTACCCGTCGAAGTGCGACCTCTACAAGACCATGTTTGGGAGGAGCGGGGAGAGGTGGAGGGAGGGGAAAATGCCACAATGTGTCCGGAGATTTGCCGTGTTGCATACTTGGGACAGATGTTGGTGACGGTCCAGCTCCGGCCAGGCACTCCCAAGGGCATGCCGCGGAGCACGTGCCTCACATGCACGATGCCACTTTGGGAATGGATTCGAAATTCAATTCATATTTCAAGAATGTCAGAGGTCTCACATATGAGGCTCGCCTGGGAGAGCTTCTCATGGAAATGCATGATGTCAAGTGGGATGCGATGCTACTCGCCGAAACTATGCGGACAACTCGGGAAGAGTCTTTGGTGTTAGAGGGGGGGCGCTTGTTCGTTGGTGCAGGATATGAAGTGAACCAGCGTGGCGTGGCAATCGTCATAAACAAACGATGGGCGAATGCAGTTCGAGATTCCGTGTTCGTGAACGAAAGATTGGCTTACCTTGATGTGCAGACCCGCGGCGAGATGGCACGGTTGATCTCTTCGTACTTTCCTCGCGCCAGATATGCCGACCACCGCGGGCGCGCTACGCGCGCATCCTTATCCCGAATATGCAGAGAGGCGCGCCGCAGGCACTACATAACCATACTTGGTGGTGACCTTAATGCTGAAGTTGGGGGCCGACTCGACACGGGCAATCCGAAGGTCATCGGAAGATTCGGCCTGAATGCGGGGACATCGCGTGGGCAATGGTTGAAGCAGTGGTCTACTTTGGAGAACTTGGTCATCGCCAGCGCATTTTTCCCAAAGACGCCGGAGAAAAGAGCTGCGCATATTGGGGCAAGTGGGCGACCCCGACAAATCCACTTCATCGTAGTAGACCGGAAGGTTTGGAAATTGTTCAGAATTGCGGTTCAGTGGGCGATATTGGCATGGGTTCCGACCACCGCGCAGTTTTCATATCGTTTTCTTTCCATCGCGCGACCAAAGGGCCTGCGATGCGACACAAAAACAAAGAAGTGTAGGGCGCCATGGAGCATGGTGGACTGTAGTGGTTTCAGGGCAACTCTACAATCGAAGATGCATAATCAACGGCTCCACGCAGACGCCGGGCATCAAGCGGAGTTCATCGAAGACGCCTTGCGGACCTCCGCGAGCGACAACAGGAAGGGGCCGAACAGGACAGGGGAGGGCGACGCTTTCAGCGAGCTCCGAGGCCGTATCCGGGAACAGATCGCTGCCCGGAAAGATGCGCCCGACCCTTCGCGGCGAGCTTATCTGAGCAATCGTGTCCAGGAAGACATCAAACGACTCCGAAAATCCGAGGAGACTGTGCGAATCCAAAAGGTTTTGGATGATTTTACAGGCTTGGGCCGGATTTCTCGCCACAAGACCTTCGCGGGAAAGTCTTTGATGACAAGTGTATTGGACGAAGAAACCGTTATAACCAATCGGAGGGGCATGGTCGACGTGTTTGCGTCTTTCTATGGGGATCTGTATTCGTCGAAGGTATCAGCACCGACCTTGCCGGAACTGGGAGATCCACGGGTCGTCGCCGAGGGTTCGCCGAGCGTCGCGACGGACGAGGTTCAAGAGGCAACTCGCCAGCTCAAGCGGAATAAGTGCGCAGACACTGGGTGCGTCTTTGCCGAGATGCTCCTGGAGAGTGGGGATGTGCTTCTGGATGCCTTGGCTGCTCTGTGCAGCGCCGTCCTGAATGGGTCTTCAGAGCCGCCAGAGACGTGGAGACAGTCTGTGATCAAGGTGATGCGCAAATCTGGAGACGAGAGATTGCCAAAGAACTACCGTCCAATGACAATCCTTCCAAAGTTATATAAACTATTCGCGCGGCTTTTGCACAATCGTTTATCGAAGATCTTGGGGCCGCAGCAGAGCGTTGATCAAGCTGGGTTCCGGAGAGGCTTCTCTACAGAAGACCACCTCTTCGCGATGATGGTGATCCAGGAGCAGGCTGACGAGCGCCAGCTCCCTCTATAGTGCGCAGCGCTGGGCTTTCAGAAAGCTTCAGACTCCGTCGAGCACCGTGGCTTATGGAATGCACTTTTCAAGCAAGGCGTACTGGCGAGCTACACCGGGCTATTGCAGCGGCTGTGCGGCAAACAAGAAGGGCAGGTACGCACTGACGCACGGAGCCGCTGGTTCGACATGTCCCGCGGGGCAAAACAGGGGGATCCGCTGAGCTCCTTGATCTTCAACGCGCTGCTGGAAGACATCATGAGAC